ATATCATAATGAAAATTTAGAAGTGAATACTAAAAAATAGGACACACAATTATAAATATAAAACAAATATTTTTAAAAAATATAAAATGATCAAAATACCCTAAAAAGGATGTAAGTAATTTGGTCATTTTAAATAATTTGGTCGAATATACGTTCAAAATATATATCACTATTTTAATTTTAAATTTTTTCTATGAATCTGATTAAGATGAAATTTTGGATATATATACCTAACACTATTGCACACCGTATAAAAATATAAAAAAATTATTTTCAATAATTTAAATTGACAAAATTACCCCCATCATTTTTTAGGAATATTTCAATCATTTGATATTTTGAAAAATATATAAATCGTCATTTTTTAGGGGTATTTTAATCATTTTATATTTCAAAAAATATTTTTTATATATTTTTTAATTGTGCTTCTTGTTTTTTAGTACACACGTTTAAAATTTCATTATGAACCAATTTCTATAAAAAAAATATTAAAATTCGTATAGTGATATGTATTTTGAACCACATGTTGAAGATCTGACGACTAGGATTCCACTTATATTACTACTCATTATTGCTGCCAAGTGTTTTGAAGGTTTACTTATATATATATATATATATATATTATATTAAGATGTTCATTATAAAGCATCTTATAATTGTACTCAACAAAATTTAGATATTTATAGACCCTTGTTTCATAATATAATATTTTTTTTCTAATAATGTTTTTAATCATTAGGAGGGGTGTGACATCATCTACTTGTGGTATGACATCATCCGCAAGGAGCATTAAATTCCACTAGTGTGCTCCATATTGGTGATGTCACACTCCATATGGATAATATCACATCCATTCTGGTGACAAAATATACATTTACTAAAAAATGTTCCATGTACAAAAACACTTACTAAAAAAAAATGTGTCCAAAATTTGTTGAGTACAATTATAAAATGTAAGTCAACTAATATAACCCATATATGTAGTGAATAAACAATTAAATTAATGTGCACATAAAAAATTTCACTGGAAGAGGTTGTTTCAATACCCAAAAATCTTCAAATTAGTCATCTTGTCCTCAAGATGCATTGACAGGAGAAAAATGGATTTCAAGCTTTTAAAATAGCACAGCTTATAATGCATTTTCGTACCATCAATTTTCAAGATTTTCAAGAATTCATAGATTTGCTCGATCGACACTATTTATTAAGCCTTAAATTTTATAATTAGAGATGAAATAAATTTTCAGGCCATCACATAGATTTCTAATATTGAAACATCTTTGGACATTATTTGAAGGTGTGCCTTACTTTGATTGTTTATGGCCTTGGCTTTACATATATAACATTCAAAATTTCATCTTAATCAAATTTATAAAAAAAATAAAATTTAAATAACGATATGTATTTTGAACACCATTCAATGAAGATCTAACAATTGGGATTTCACCTAAATATATATAACCTTTGATACAAAGTGATCACATTAATCTTGGCCATTGGGTGTAAAATTGGGGGGATGCAAATATTCCGTTGACCAAGCTCAAACTTCAAAAGAAATTTTATCAACCTTTGTGATACATCTAAGCTATCAAATTTCATATAAGATGGTTGTGAGTAATTGTGACCACATTGTATATATATATATATATATATATATATATATATATATATACTACTA